TACTAATGTAGAGAACATCATGCCCACTGATACAATGAATTAGGTCTCATTGGGCATTCTTGCTTTCTGGTCACTGTGATCCATTTTACTAGAGATGAGGTAACAAAATCTCAGGCTTAAAAGAATAGCTAAGTACATGTTTATAGTTGATGTATAATGATTTGTCTTCTTCCCATGAAAGAACATTGCCATATTTAAGCCTTTTGTCCTTAAGCTTTAGGCTTTATGTGAATAATTTAATTCCACAAGAACAGGGGCACTAGACATAGGTCTAGGGTACTAACCTATTTAATCTGTTGCCCATTGTAACAATGCAATGCAATGGAAAGCATAGCAATGACAGCAAAGTAGCAAACTCTTAGGCTGCAGCAAGAAAGAACATGCTCAAATACAGCAGCAGCTATAGATACAGAAACAAAGACTATGCTTACCTACAGAAGGCCTCAGGTGGGCTGGGATCTCCAGCAAAATATCCTTGACTCCATTGCCAACCCTTAAATGAGGTCTGAGAAGGGGTGGAGCCAGGACCCATCCCCTTCTGGTCATTCAGGTGTACTGCCTAGGTTGGCCCTGCCTTCTCACCAGGTGCTCCATCACTGGTTCAGGCCATGGCTTAGCATTTCTGCTAAACCCATCTTTCTCTAAAAGCTGAATTTTGGCTATTCTCGGTCTCAAAAATTTTGAGAATTGCCTGCCAACTCTGTTCCATTTGTTATTATATAATTTGGTGAAATAATGTAGTGAAAAGTTTTTAGCACTTCTGGTGATAACAAAAATTTGAACTGTGTTTGAATGATATGTAAAAGTTTCTTTGTGCATCTTGAAGTTTCTTTGTGTTCAATTTTTCTCAGAATTTCTTTAACTTTCTTTATTCCATGGCCTGTTCTGCTAATTTTTTTTAGCATAATCCTGATACCAACAGAACAACCTATCTGTTGGATACATGAAGCAGAGCATTAGTCTTCTAGATGCATTTTTAGGCCACATGTCTTAAATTACTGTTTGATAGAGATCATTAGAGAAAAATTACAGTTGTCCTCTAAAAGATGTTCACTTCTTCCACATGTTCACCTCTTGCAGTCTCTCCCTCTTTTTTCTAACTTTTCCATTTTGTTGTTACTTTCAGAAGAAGTCTCACAAGAAGATGACAAAATCAGGATCTAATGTGAAAAACTTTCTATTACTTCATTTATAGTAAGCGTAACAAAAAACAGAAGAGATCTGGGAGATCATGACTGATACTAAATTTTTGTGATGCTAAAAAATAATATGAGCTTTTCTAAAAAGTTGCGTTACGTACACAAAAATATAAACATATTGCATTGTGTATAACAAATTCACACACAGAGTCATACTCCTTGCTGCGATGTCCTCAGTTGGCAGACATGATTTTATCTGCTTTTTTTATTTTGCATTCTATTCTGCCAGTTGACCTGGACCCTTTGTATTCACTCCCTTCCCTCAACCAACCAGCATTTGCTAGAGACAGAGACACCTGAGAATTTGTTTGGCAGCTCCTATATTGGTCACTTAAGATGATCTCAAAGGAATTCAATTAAGAGGAATGGCACGCAGAATTAATTATTGATAACACTGCATAACGCTGGACATAATATGCATGCAATACAGGAAGTAAGCATATGGTAAAGTCATAATTAAGCTTATCAATCAATTAATTGCTAATCTCCTGTGTAATTACTTTTGTTTGTTTCCCAGGAAGATATTTTAATTAGATTGCTTAAAAGTGATAATGAAATTGAAACCAGTTTTTAGCACTTTGCAGTCATAACATTGGTTACGTTGTGGTGCAGATCACAGTTAATATTGAACATGACAGCAGTTACTGAAGGTCACTCTTCCTGCAACAAGCAGCGCCTACCAAAAGTGTCAACTGATCCTTGTCCTTCGCCTCTTCAGTGGACAGGCTACATAAGCTCTGGTTTGAAAAGTCTTACTGCAGGTCAAAAGAAATTGAAAATCGTTCCATCTGAAGTTCATGTTCAATTCATCATTTTTGAGTCTGAGGACCTAATTATCAGTGTACTTCATTTTAAATGTATAATCCTTCCATTACACTTATCAGGCCAGGGAAACATTGTGAAATTTCCGTCTGGGATATTCTGAAATGTTAGAATAAACTTCTCCTTGGTTTTACAAATTTCTATCGAGCAGGAAGGACATAATTCAAAGAGGCAGTCATATCCTGCCTGAAGAGCTCGAGGAATCAGAGACCACGGCTACTTATTAAAAATTGTCTATAAGGATATATCTTCGTAGATGCCATGTGCTAGATAAAGTGAAATTCTGAAACTGATCATAGAACCACTGTGCTACAAATGTGGCAACACATTTTTTTATTTATTTAGAGTAAGATGTGTTAACATCCAGCATGACAAAATTTGTACAAAGTTCACAATTTAAAAATGAAGTCTCACAGCAACTTGTGATTCCACACATTTATAGCAAAATTAAAATGTCAACAAATCCATGCCGTGTAGTACAAAAATAAATCAAACTTCAGTTCCACAGAGAGCACAATAAATAGTTTATACAAAATTCTGTCTTAATAAATGATTACTTAAATTAACTTAGAAATGAATATGAACAATAAGTTATAATAAATAAACTCTGATGACTCACAATAATTTCATATGAAAGGTCAGCATTCTAATATGTGACACTTTTGTGATCCCTATATAATAGTCACAGATAACTTTTGATTTGATATTATGTACCAACATTAGATGAGCAGCAGATTTGTGCTTAAAATCCCTTTCCATTGTACATAGGTGATAACAATAAGAATCCAAAACTGATACTATCTATTACTCTACTGAAAGCATTACTATACTGGCAAAGAAGCTGCAGACACAATGCAGTGGAAAAATGCATATGCCATTATGAACAATGAAAGCCCTAAAAGGAGGCTAGGGCAAAAGTACAATATATATGGCAGAAGGTGAACAACAAGCACCTTGCTTCAGCTCTCAAAAAGGCAATTCTGAGCATGGCAGCTACAACTAATAGCACAACAGAAAAAGGGCACTGTACAGATAAGATACTGCAGAGCCCCAAAGTAATTACATAATCTTTTCCCAGCTAGTTATTAAAGTCCTCGTGGAAAACTGTAAGCTTTTGTACAGTGAATAGTATAAAGTGCCGCTGGGATATACATATATTTATACATATATATATATACCGAGGTTGAGTATTGTATCAGAATATTTGTTGTGAGATCCCTGTAGTCTCCCTTAGCAATATTACTGGATTGGCCATAATGGCTTCCACTATAATTTGTTCTAGTTTAGTGTCACAAGGCTAATGACACAAGAAATTGCACACCTCCGTATGGATATATAGGGCAAGGTAAGTGCAAATAGTCAACTGGCACATTGTGGGGACAATGACCCTGTAAGTCCTGTTCTGCTAAAAATATTTTTATTTTTTACAAAATCCATCTTTTTCATAACAAAATTTTAAAGTACTTTTGTACTTTCTGCATAACATCAAGACATGGAAGGAAAAAGATATGCTATCAAATTTAAATAAATTCAACATCCGTAAAACACAACACATCACCAAATTTACTACTTAAAAAAAGAAAAATGTAGTAATAAAAAGTGGTCTTATGCATACATATAGTGCAGTCATTTTGAAGAAAACAATCAAATCTTGAAGATACAAATAAGTTTTATCTTAAAATGATCCAGTTTAAAGCAAAAAAAAAAAAAAAGTGCCGAAGTATATTTAGTTACATTAAAAATTTGATTGCATTCATTTTTGCAATAGGTAATAGTAGAACGAATACAAAGCATATGTGAATGCTGCAGTAATGATTGTTCTCAACTAAAAGCAAAACATAAATGTTGAAATATTAAAAATGGGATCAAATGCTTGGCCAAACAAAAGGAAAAGTCTTTACTGAACTGCATTCCCACTACAGAGAGCAGTGAATGCAGTTCAGTAATGCTAACAGAAGCAGACCATTTGTGTTTATCCCAAAACTAAAGATGTGAAAAGGCAATATTAATTTTAAAATATTGTCCTCCATCTTGAATTGGAAATACAGAATTTCTGAAAGATGAACTACATTGCTATAACAGATAATTCAGAGGGGCACTAGCAGTCCAGCAGAGGTAAGAGAATGTTGGCTCCAAAGTTTATTTGAAAATAAAAGCTGAAATCTTCACGTTGTCCACCTCTGATATAGTTCTTTTCATAATGGAAGTTCCCATATTCATACCATGTAATGCTTAGAAGTTAATTAAAAAGTGCTGTTTAAGCTGCTTTGAATCTTCTGTCAAGTTTCCATGGCTTGATGTTGTCTTACAATAAATTACCCATTTTGTATCTTACATCTAATCCATGCCATTTTCTTGGAATTCAAAAAACCTCATTTTATTGCCCCCACCACACACCATCCTCCAAAAACAAAAGTCACATAATATTTTCAAGCATTGTTCAAAAATAAAGCATTTTTGCAACCAATTCTTGCTATGAAACAATATGCACACAAAATGTATTTCTTAAATCCCATAAAATCCTCCAACATGAGGCAAAATGATAGTGTTTAAAAAGTGGCTGCAGACCGCAACATTGTCATTCAAAGCTGTTTTTTTTTTTTTGTCCATTTCAGTTCAAAATACTAAAACATTTAATCACTAAAGCATTAAAAAGAATTTACACTCTATTTATTTTGATCAGCTTACCTCTTCAGAAATATATATACCCCAAAAATGTGCATACATTAGCAGCTATAAACATTACATGGCATATCACACTATGTCAGCTTATATGAAAACGTACAAAATGTGAATGTATTCAAAAAACTATTCTGCAGTTACTATCTTTAAAGCAAGACATAAAATCATTATGAAGTCTTGTAAGCATAACACTGTTTCAAACAGAAATAAATATATAACACTTTCTGGTAAATTACAGCAGCAAAAAACAAGAGGCATCCTTTTTTTAAGCAAGACTTTCACCACTATAGCAGCTGTTCAGACCTGAATTCCTCTCACAGCCTGCTTTATATTTTCCAGTAGGGCTTTATTTTCTGGACTCTGATAACGATCTTGATTTGTATACATGTCCGTCAAAGTGGTCACGTAAGCATCAAAATTTTGTTCATTGATTGGTTCCTACGAGATATTAAATAGTAGTTCATATACAACTTTTATTTTCTTAATTGTATATTCATTTAAGCATAACATATTATCAAGGCATAACTGCCACCATTTTTTATAATATTTAAAATGCCTATTTAGTTCTTACTTAATTTTTTTTACAGGATACACTGGAACAGGCCCTCCATGTCTTTGTTAGCAGTTAAATGTATCTTTATGGTTTCAGTGCTGTTACCACAAATATCCAACTGGTTGATGAAACGTAAACATAAAAAAAGACATCTATTGTATGAAGTGAACTGAAGATCTCCAAATTCCTTAACTTGTGCTCTCAATCACTTACCATATGTGGCAGCTGGATATTAGCTAGACTATGAATTAAAGACTGGCTTAAATTGGCCAATTCATGAAGAAGAGACTCATTTTGCTGTTCAATTACTTTGTTCTCCTCTTCTATCGTCTTCAGGTTGCTCTCCATTGTGGTAATCTAAAATGGACAAATTTGTGTACAATGTAATATAAGGCAAGCTGTTATAAAGCATGTGCTCTTCAAAGGGAGCAATCATAGAAATACCAGAGAAAGGAGAAAAATATCTATTATTGAAACCAAAAAGGGTCTGAAATTCTTATCATTGTTAAACGCATCTTTTTACAAGTGCAAGTGAATGGCTTGTTTTTTTTTAATATTGGCAATAACGAATGAAGTTGGATTTAGTTTTACTGTTTTTGAGGTTTTCTTTTTGCACTGAAGGGCATTAAGAAGAACCTTAGTTCTGCAAATTCACCCGTGTGATTTAACAGTTCCACTCCTACAAGCCTAGTTGTCAGTGGTACATTTCCAATATTTTTCGCAATACGTATATTGCTAGTTAAGCATGCACAGCTCCATGTCAGTGTTGTCAGTTTTTTATAATTATATATATTTTTTTTCTATCCAAATTCATAGGGCTGCTTTTGAAAGCTGACCAATGTACGGTATTGCAACTGAGTGTGCTGCTGGTGTCCCCAGGTGACAAGACACAAGATAGCTGCAGCCTTATGTTGTGCTCGAGCTAAAAATCATTGTGGAGGCAACTTACCCAAGCTGATGCAGAGCACAGTACTAACAAAGTTGTAAGGATTTCAGATGAGCGCTGGCTCATGTTCAGCTATCAAGAGCACATTCAGAGCTCAGTTGTACCTATTTACACTTTTCTTTGTAGACCTGTCCTAACTTTCCACTCTGGATGACAACTGTTAATAGCTATTACAAACTGTGCAGCGTGTGTTTGTCTGTGTAGGTTAAAATAGAGAATGGAAAAAGAAGCCAGAGGAATGGAAAAATGCTAAAGAACACTAAGTTTTAAATTATCAGAATGAGCTTAATTTATTTCTACTTTGCTATAATGGAAAGGATAGAATTTAAACCCACTCTTGGGAACCTGCATTAGCAGGGGAGTAGGACCTCTAGATAATCTCTAGAGGTCCCTTCCAACCCCTATAATTACTCTTCTGTAATTCTGTGGTTCTGTAAATACTGAGCTGAAGTGTCTGAGCAGTAACAGCCATGAGAAAGGGAAATTTTAGGTAACAGCTGGCACAATCAGGTTGTTGTTTTATTCCAGACCCAGAGGTTAAGTCTGCTTATGGAAATACAGCCCGTTAGTTTACAGACTTAACTTTGACAAGTGTGCAACTTTGACATGTGGCAACACATAAAACAATCTTTAAGTGGATCTGATTTTGATTACACTTGTATATATAGCAATTAATCCATGCTGTCAGTATTGCAGGAGCTTGATCTGTCACAATTAATTGATTATTAGCTACTCCTACAACACAGTATAGCAGGCAAATACTTTTATTCAGTTTTGGAACTGGGAACATATCCTCCTCTTTTGTTTTGCTTTCAACTTTTGCATACTAGAGAGCAACTCCATGCGAATACAAAACGTTTTCTGTAGGTGCTTGTTAGAGTCAGCCATGCTCCAATATTTACCCTAAAAACCAATTCTATATTAGAGACCAATATGAACAGCCTGATGTCAATGAAAGCTAGTTAAGTATGGCATGATGCTGCTGTCTCACAGTAATTTAAATACCTAGAAAATCTATTAAAAATTATAATTGAGTATTGCCACCTGAATAGATTTTTTTTTTCCCTTGGGCTGTGTCATGGGAGATGCTGACAATTTGAAAATTAATTACTTGCAGATTTTTCTTTCCCTATCTTATGTTCATGTGTTTCTACTCCTCTCCTACTTTTGGAGCTGCAAGTTAAAAATCAAACAAATTTACTAGAATATCTTAAATTAAAAATGTTTTGTTCCAAGTCTTATGCAAAAATGCAGCTGGTATAGGAAAGTGTTATTAGTGTCCCAAATGAGATAAAGTCTGTAATACAACTTCCCACTGTTTTAAATATGAAATATTCTATGATGAAGTCTGTAATACAACTTCCCACTGTTTTAAATATGAAATATTCTATGTGGAAGAGAAGTCCTTGTTGTAGGAAAAACTTTCACTGGCACGTAAAATCATACAGTATTCAAGACCTCAAGAAACACGAATTTTGCTATTTATGGTGTTCATAAAATTAACACTGTTTTCTCATTGTATATACTTCTGTGAAGCTTTACTGATATCTAGATGATTTTCTAAAGATTTATCAGTAAATATTTTGTTATGCTTAATATAATTTCAGTGTTCTAAAAAGAGGGAACTGTTGACTTGGATATAATCTTAATAGATTGACAGTGACTGTGATGTAACTGTGTTGGAAATGTCTTCAGGAGAGTGTCGTAACTCTTAATTGAAGCCTCATGTAAGTAAAAGAAAAGAAAAGGTAGCTTAGAACCTTCCAGTTTCAAAACTCACTAACAAATTCTGCCAATGTTGTATTTATAGATTTCCTGCCACTGAGTAGTCTTCTTGCCCTCTTTTTTTTCCTACTTGATCACATTAGAAAATCGTAAAACATCCATAAAATCCTATCAAGATGAAATAATGGCAGAGAACCCTGAATAAAACTGAATTGAGGTTTCAATACCAATTCTGCTACTATTTGGAAGTCAAACAAAAACACGCTGAAAGGCCACATTCTTTCTCTATTTTTGAGTATACAAGACGAGGACAATGGAGACTGTATACTTCTCTACAAGCAATAGGCAAAGAAGTAGCAAGGAACAGCCATCTCTACTTCCATTAGGTAGGATCAGTGTGACTTTAATTATTACCATCATGGGAGTAAAGGCTGAAAAATACTGGGAATGGCAGTAAAGCTCTCTGTAGCTGTCTGTACTCAAATCATGGGAATAAAACAACACCAAAAACTATGCTGGACTGTGGAAAATGTCAGGGAAGGAATTCAATTTATTTCCTTCCTCTGCCTTTTTCATCCAGCATTAGGACTGAAAAGTGAGAATAAAGTGAGGTTTTAACATCAGTTTCCCCATGTTTTCAACAGATTTATAGGGAACCTGAAAGGAACTAAGCTGAATCTGTGAAACCACTCTTGCTGCCAAGAGCTGCTCTACGTGATGAAGTGTAATAGGTACTCCTTTCCATATCTAAGTTTCCTTTGTAAAACAAACCTGCAAAAAGCCACATTGTTCATTTGGGCTCCTTCACCTTGTGACTTCTTATGTTAATGACTATGATCTAACCTAATAATTTAACTACTATTAGAAATGTATATGTAGCTTTCTTTATCAAGGGGAAATACAAAGCTGACAGGTCATGCTTTTGTCATTGTTTTTGAAAGTATAATTAGCTAGGGCTCCTTTTTTTAATGGTGGTAATTGATGTGGAAATTGCATTCTGAATATTGTTTTCTGATTTTATAAATGGCTCACATATTAGTATGTGAGGAATACAAAACACTACAATATATTTCCCATATTTCTTTTAATCAGTCATGTAGGAAAAGCAGCTGAATTTAGGGCTTCATAAAACTGTTACCTGAGTTCTGAGTTTAATCATGTCAGCTTCCATCTGGGAGTTGGATTCATTTAGTTCTTTGATTTCTTCATCTAACTGTTTAATTTCTTCATCATTTTCTATACCTATGCGATATAAAAAGAAAAGATGTATTAAAATACAAAGCTTTAAATCAGAGTTCAGCAAATTAATTACTTCCATATTTGAAATATAATTTACTTCAAGTAAAAGTTTTAGAGAAAAAAATATAGAAGAAGGAAATGCTCTTCAAACTTGTGTTCTGAAGTTAAAATGTTAAATATATTTTCCACGGCTTTTAAATCAGCAATAATTTTCCAGCCTGTGTTATGAAAATGCCTGGAGAATCAGTATGTCACAACTTTCTTTTTATACACACTGATTTTAACACTGCATTAAAAGAAAGGCACCTGTAACAACAAATTCTGCTCCACATCTTATTTAACTTATTTGAAGGACTATCCTAATTTATAGATATTCTGAAGGAAAGAAAATATCTTAACATGATCATCTTTCCATAGCACAATGCTGTCAAAATCATTTCCCAACACAGTAAAATTTTGTTGATGCATTAGGATATACTGCGATTCTGCTGTTGCTTTTAATATTTGCATGGTTCAGAAGAGTGTTATGTAATGATATTCAGGGCTATTTGCAAAATGGAAATGATTTTTTACTTTTATGGCTTAAATATTTAAAGAACTGGTACCTATTTCTTTAAGAATTCAGAGATGAATAAACTCTGTAGTTTTATTTATTCATTTAATTATCATAGCAAAGCATATAACAATTCTAGGAAGAAATGTGTCTGGTTTTGCTAAAGTCTTAAGTCCTAAAACTAGAGAATTTGTGTTCCCATTGGCTTGCTCTTACACATCTTTTCCCAGTATCCCTCACTACAACAGGAAGAATGCTGTGTGTCTCTGTAAGCATCCCAAATGTCTGTATCCCATTCCTGAAGGCTTTCCTCATGGATAAGGCATGTGGTAGAGAAAATTACGCCCAGACCTTTACCTCCCTGAATAGTAGCAACTGAACCAACACATTCTCTAGCTGTGCTGGCAATGTGGGTTGCAAAGGCTCTTCAGAAAGCTTTTTCTATAAATGCTTTTTGGCTCTGAAATACATTTTATGCCAGCATTTAAGGAGGCAGCATATTAAGCATGGACAGTCACAGATGAAGCGACTATGTCAAGTTCTCCAAGAAAAATTAGGACTTAGGTACCTCCCAGACAAGACATTTATGCACTACCTATCTGAAGCCCCTACAGTTTGCTTTATTTGCACTTCAGGTACTAAGGTAGCATCTTTACTTTCATTGAAGGTACTTGCATCATCTTTCCTGCAACTCAAATTTCCCAGGAATGACTGCAGATCATTGGATACGAAATGGCACGAGAGGTTACAGAACCCCAACTCCAAATCCAAATTCAAAGGACCTCGTAAGGACTTGAAACCTCTGGAAATAAATTATTTTCGTCTTTTAAATCCTGCAACAACATAAGGTCACCCATCTGCCTTGGTGAATGAGATATGAATCAGAGGACCAGAAAATTACAGTGGTGTACTCTACTTTGAAATATTTTAGAGTTATTTGAGTGTAACAGCCCAGGCTGACTCACTCCACTGTTGGCTCAGATTTCCACAGCACAAAGCCCAGTTTAAATTCTACTGACCTTGAATTCCCAGTTTATACGAAGGTTTACACTCAGAGAAAAAAGAGCCCATAGTGACAACTTTAGCTACCAATGAAATATTGTATTAAAAGGTAATGATTAAAAATTTACCATTACTGGCCCGCTGCTTTATTGTTAGCATTTGTTCTCCAGACAGCTTTGCTTTCTTCATTGCTGAAGTAGCTCTGGGACATCCTGATAAACTGTGAACATTAAAAAGCTTATTAATTTTGATAGATATTTGAAAATAAATCTTTAATCCAAAGCTGTGACAGAAAACAGTATTAGAGATAAAGTTTATTGTCATTGCCCGGTACTGAAAGAGTGTGCTAGTCTAAAAAAAAAAAAAAAGAAATTAAAAAGTCTTACCAGTAGTTATTTCATGATTTTATTCTTCCATACAATTTCTTTTTGTGTAAACTCTAACATAAAAGTCAGATATATCATGTAAAGATATAAGCCAAGGAACAACAGTCCAATTTTCTAATGCTCTTCTTCAAAATTTTTATTTAAAAGTAGTTACTCCTCCACTTCAAATTCACATGATACCTCTCTGAACTTCCACCCATGTTAATTAATAGTCAAACATTTAATTAATTGATGTGCATCAAAACAATTAACCCTTACAGACTATGCTGCTCTTAGTGAATATAGTGTACTGAGCTGAGTAAATTGCTCTTCTTTAACTGCTTCTTAAAAAAAAACAGTATATCACTTTTCTGTTGAAGCATAAGAAATGACCCAAATGTTCCCATAAAAATGACTTTCCTTAGAATATGAATCTCTTAAAATGTATATTTGATACACTTACAGATGGAGACTCAGATACTGCTTGTCTCTCATGTTGTCAAAACTTTTAACTTTTAATTACATCATACAAAATAATTTGATGTCAAATGCAATCTCAGCAGATTTTGTTATGGGAAATGCTCACTATTTTTATGTAATTATATACATCAAGCAGTCTGTTCTTTGTAAGTCACATCCTTAATGCATATCACAAGTAAGATTAAATATATATTCAATCTGATTGAAACTTCTGAAACTTACTAAACAATTCCATACTCCTTCAGGACTCATGATTTTATAAACACTAGAACTGAAAAATGTTACACACATGTCACTGCTTCCTGATAATATCTCTGCAATATGGAGCAGGTTTCTGCGAAAGATATCTTTGAGTAAAAGCATTTACTTAGGTACAGACCCAACTTCCCATACAAAAAAAAAATTAAGTACAATACATAATTATTTAGAATTTTTCTTTAAAAAGCCTGGGCTACTATTATCAAGTGCAGGCATTTAGAAAAGGCAATTTTCCCAGAAAAATGTTTAAAAATTAAATTCATTTCCTCAGAAGAAAAATCAGTGTTCAAAATCCAGACTTGTTTCTGAGAAGATACATAATAAAACAACCCTGGCAGTATCAAGAAAGCACATGACCTAATACCTTTACACTATTGCCTAAGTAGTAGGATAACACAGTATTCCAAGCTCTACTCCAGACTCAAGGCCTGACCACATAAAAACCCTCCTCTTAAAGTGACAATGGGTGTGCTGGGGAAGATTAAAGAGAAGGAGGTTGTGTATTTTGGGAAAAACAAACAAACAAACATCAGTGCAGGGAAAGGAATTAAAGATAACAACAGTATGTGCATTGCAACAATTACATTAGTTTACTGTTATCTTGCTCCTTAGCCTTTTCCTCTCCAAAACCTTTAATAGCTGTTCAAATAGGGAACTCCTTAAAATGAAATTCTCTCTCAAAATAGCCCATAAGTAAAGCTATTCCAACGCTACACAGAATTGGATGCTAGAATTGCATGTATCTGAAAACCCAAAATAACAAAACAAAGTGTAATCACAAGCAGCAGAAATTGATACTGTGTGCCTTCATCCAAGGTTTTGTTCCTCATTAGTCATCTAATATAACAGATGGAAGAGAGCTTTGACTAAAAGGGCTTCTTTCAATGATAGTGCCCAAACCACTGACTACAGCCAATTTCTTCTTTTGACCTCCCTACCCCTTATGCACACAGTTTTAACACATGCACCACTGTACTTCTATGATTACCTTTAGCTTGTTAGGTTATTGTTTTTAGAAGAAGTCATGAATGAACAGAATCTCCTGGCTTTTCCTGCAGCTTTGATTAATTTAAGGGAGCATTTTATACTCCTAAAGGCACCAAACTCAACACACAGAAAGTTGTCAAATTCAGACCATGCCATCAACCTCCTCTGCAGGTCTTTATTGGCAAACCTGTCTCCCCATTAGCTCCATACTGTATTGTAACTGGTAAGATCCCTTTCCAGGCACTTATAATTTTAATGAAGCAGTGATTAAGTCAGTAGTCTAAATTAGCAGACTGAGCTCTATTAAAGCATATTTAACTTGGCTACATTCTTCAGAAATGCACAAGACAAAGATATCAATACGCATCCTCTTTGCTCTGCTATTAATGAAGGTATCTATAAATACTTTCATAGAATCATAGAGCTTTAAATCATAAAACAATAAATTAGAGTTCTGATTACAAGTTTCCACTCTGCAAGGACATCCTAACACTTCCTTTCTACCTCCCAGTACCTGAAGGGGAAAGCAGTGGAGGGACTATTTATATGGGCAGGTAGTGACTAGTTGAGGAAAATGGACGAGGGTAGATTTAGACTAGGTATCAGGAAGAAATTCTTTACTGTGAGAGTGGTGTGACACTGCAACAGGTTGCCAGGTTATGGATGTCCCTTCCCTGGAAGCATTCAGGCCAGGCTGGATGGGGCCTTGAGTAACCGGGTCTAGAGGGAGGTGTCCCTGCCTATAGCAGGGGGCTGGAACTAGAACATCTTAAAGATCCTGTCCAACCCAAACCATTCTTTGATTCTATGATTCTTAACTCCACTTTCATATACAGTTAATTACTTCCTTTTTTTCTAAGATGAGAATAACCAAACAAGGACAGGACATATGGAAGGTAAGATGAGAAAAATGGGCAAGTCAGCATCACACCAGAAGTGGAATGCTGTACAACAAATGAACATCACAGAGGTATACAGTTAACTAAAAGCTTCAGTTGAGGTCCTAGTGAAACTGAGAGCAGCTCCAGATTTCTAGAAAATTGAAGACATAATACAAATGGTGGAGGAAAAAAAAGCACAGGTATGATCTTTTTTTTTGTCTCAAATATCCTTAGATTTTATTATACACAAGTAAATTCCATTTCAATTCTTTAAGAATGTACTGGTTTTAGAGCTAATTTTCTTCATAGTAGCTAGCCCTACTATGCTAGCTATACACTACGTTTTGGATATGTAATGAAAAACACATTAGTGGCAATAACACACTGATGCTTTAGTTCTTGTTCTTTCACAGAGCCAAGGACTTTCCTGCTTCTCACATTACTCTGCCTGTGAGTTGCTAGGGGTGTGCCAAGTGGCTGCGAGAGGACAGAACCAGGACAGCTGACTCAAACTGGGCAAAGTTATATTCCATATCATATGACATCATGCATAGCAATGAAATTGGGAAGAAGAGAAGAAAAAGGTGTGTTCTGGCGTTATGGCACTGTCTTTCCAAGTAACCATTATGTGTGAAGAGCTCTGCTTTCCTGGAAAGGGCAGAATATCTGCCTGCTGATGGGAAGTAGTGAATTAATTTGTTGTTTTGTTTTGTTTTGCTTGTGCATGCAGATTTTGCTTTACCTAGTAAATTTTCTTTATCTCAACCCATAAGGTTTTTCAAATTTATTTGCCTTTTCAGTTCTTTTGCTCATCCTATTGTGGAGGGAGTGAGTGGCTGTGTTGGATATAGCTCTCTATTGGCTCTAAATCTCAACAAAGATTTAAGGAAAATAAGTCACATATACCTGAAAAATAACAAATAAAATATAAAGACCAAGACAAACAAGCTAGCTAGTAATTCTGATAAGGATACTATCAATTTTAAAGCCTGTCACAGATTTTTCTGCTACAAGTCAAATTACTGTGTAAGTGTATTCTTGCTTTGGTTTGTTTTTTGGATTTTAAACAAACCTTCCACTGACTAGTACACGAAAGTCTAGAGCTTGTTCATTCCAGTAAAGAACTCATAAAATTAATCACCATTATCTCACTTGCCACTGCCACTATTCTCATTATTCTTATACACATGAAAAATAATGCAAAATAAAATACAAGCATAGTTGAGCTTTTTTTTTTGTGTATTAAAAATGAACAAGGCTTTCTAACAACATGCTGGGAGTATGGTGTAACAGTCTACACATAACGAGGCATCATTTATCTCTGTTTGACTGTGGATGCCCCAGGGCTTGAAGCTCCAGCATTTCAGGCGGAGCTGTGAGAAGTGCAATACTCAACTCCTGTCTCCCTCCGAATTCCTGATTCAGCAGGAGCTGAGATTCTGCTGGTGGTCATCAGCAACTTGTCTCCTTGAGATGCCATACTTCTTGGCTCTCACTGAGTTTCTACTATCAGTTCTTTAATTTGAGAAAGAAAAGTGCAGTGTGGTATATAATCCTTGAAAGTGAGCCACTGCAACAATTTACAGAAAACCTGTGAATAAGTGAATTAAACTGTTAAATTAAAGTGACCTGGGGTCATGTCCTGCAAACTGCCTGTAAGGTGTGTGCTAAAATTTGAGCAAGCCTCAATTTTTGCTGCTTGGCTGTGTATATCTGACATCGTTTATATCAGAAATTTGCTTTTGTTGGGCATAGGTGCTAGATAGAGAGGTGCATGATTGGGGCATACACATGCAGGTTTTGCTTTACAAGAATGGCACTGTCGATGCAATAGACATTTCTATACACTATACTCCTGCATCAATTGGGGTCCTTTTTTTCAGGAACACTTTGCAAACGGAGGAATGCAGAGGTAAAGTACAAGTAGCCCCACAATCCACAAAATAAGCCCAATCCATACAGAGTCACATTTGCATTTGGCCCAACTTTAATGAAGAGTAGCGATTTACAGAAACCCAGTCATCTAACACGTATGCAGAAAGACTACATGCAAAAATTAGGATAAAGTGCATATGGTCACTGCATTGTTTAAGAGTTGAATACAACATTAAGAATGCATTTTCTTTTTCTTTTTTAGTAGTCTATGCATTGCAACCAATGCATAGTCATATAATCATTAGATTTGAAAAATAAAGTTGAATTGGTCCCAAAATAAAAGAAAAATTACCGGGGGAAAAAGTTTGAAGGAG